GACGAAACTCATCAAAGGAGACTGAGATCTTGAGACTATTTGTCAGGTCGCTAACTTCCCAATTCTCAAAATCACTATCCTCGGTCTTGGAATCACTTTTTACTCAAAAGAAGAAAGTAGACGAAGGATTAAGATAGGAGAACAATAGAAAGTGAAAGAAGGAAGTCAGAGTAGGGAAATTTTAAGCAACTACAAGTACCAATTCATGAAGCGGTCAATCATAAGAGCCCAATGTTATTTTATTACCTTCAAAGTTCTTAAGGTAACACTAGGTGGATAATTTTGGATATTTACCACGCAATTAGTCGTGACAAGTTTGGTAAAAGACCTTTATGGTAAGTAGGCAAATATTGATATTCCTCACAAAAATTGTATGTGACGGGCTGAGCAAATGATTTTTTTGCAGTAAATGGTCAACTCTTAATGTTGACTCTATTTACCATATATCGGTAAGCTAGGCTCAAGGTAGATTAGACTTAAAGCAGGCTAAGCTCAAGGTTTTACAGGGAGTGAGTAATTTTGGTTCCTCATCTCAATAGGCATGCTTGCCCCAGTATGAAATTTGGTGGTTTACTGGTTCACACATGAGAAGAAATACGGAGGCCAACATAAAGCTGCTTTGAGTTAGGGTTTAGCTTGAGAACAAAGCTTGGTAAAATTATATCTCATTGAGGACCTTGAAGGCATTCACAATTTTCCAAATTTTTCATTTTTCATTTTTTTAATTATTTTTCCACTTTTTTCCGTTTCCTCCAAGTGACTTACAATGATTGTTTAATTCTTACTAAAGTCTCAACTAACAAGAAATGATAAGAGTAGACCATATTAAAAATATTATTGAGAAATTTCAAAACATGTAATTTCCTTTTTATCGAGAGCCTTTCAAAGAAAACATTTTTTTTCAACCAATAATATGATATGAGTGATGCATGAATGAATGTATGACTTTGATTTTTTTTTTAAAGAATAATAGCTCAATTTCCACACACTCACATTCTTTTTTACAAGTACTTAGCTAAATCATGGGTGACTAAAGCTTCATTGCCGTTTAAACACTAGCAAACAATCTCAAAGATGACTTCAAAGAAGAAATAAACTTTATTGATAATGCAAAGCAATAGGTCAACATTGATTTTGATAATCTTGTACACTCATGATTCTAGTGCTTCAGGTGTTGACCATCTTCCGTTGAAAACTTTAGCCATCATGCCTTCACTAGAACTTGCACTTTATGCTTTAGTGAAGTACAGTTCTCAGTTGAATGACCTACAGCTCCTGCATGGTAATCACAGTGAACATGCAGTAGTACCACTTTGGATAAGGTGGTTGTAATGGCTCTACGGGTACGGGAGCTAATAGATTACCTTGAAATAATTGGGATAACAACTCGGTATAGGATATTGGGATCGAATGAAAGCTCTCTCACTTTAGTTGTCTCCGACTACTATGATTGTCAGGTAATGTTTGTGGATCATTCTGCAGAGTTAATGAGTTTATGGGTACCGTAGAAGGACTGTATGCCACGAATCCTTGTTGGTACTTCCCCTTGCGTTTCGAAACTACTGCCTGAACTTTATTTTTCATTTTAAAAGAGCTTCTATTCGTTTCAAGGTGTGGCTCTTTATTAATTAAAAGCACTGGTGGTTGTTCCATTGCTTCTCCCCATCTCTGAGCATATTCTTTCCCTGCAGTCTCTTCAACATTTCCATTGGTAACATTTTCTTTTTCCTTACCTTTTAAAATATTTGAGTGAATGGCCTTTGATGCTTGTCCATCTTGGAATGTGAATTCAACCTAACAAATTGTAGGAGCTTGTTGGCCTTTCTTGGAAAGCTGAGCTTCCTGTGATGAATTATGCTGGGGGAAGCCCTCTATTGACTGACAAAGAGGTGAGTTCACCTTAGGTGATGAATTATTATGAGGTTCGACTAAATTGTTAGGTTGAGAAATGCCCCCAACAATATTTTTTAAGATATTGAAAATTTCTGTGATTTGTCCCTGAATCTTCTCAATGTCTTGTCTCATCTTTCTTTAGCTCTACATTCTGCACCTCCATGACCTGTTCTTGAATCTCGCCTCTTATTTTCTTTAGCTCAGTATTCAATTCTTCCATGACCCATTCGTGGATTTCGATTCTAAGTTTCTTTAGCTCAGCGTTAAATTCTTCCATGTTATGCTGCTTTATGTACCTTGTATATAAAGAATAGTAAATATGTGGTTCTTGAACTATTTTTTCTAAGAGTTCGTATTAATTATAATGTAATGGAGAATGCACATATTTTGATTTTTTTAAGATAGAAATTGATATGCATGAGATAATGTTATGCAAATTTTGGATCACAAATTAAGAGAAATTTTAAATGATTATGAACATGTGAAATGATGCATGCATAAGATGATATTTTTTTAATTTATGTTATGGACATGCAGAATGATGCAAGGAAAGAACAATTTTAAATTACTTTAAGAAAAAAATGTGCTACCAATTACCGCGAAGTGATATGATATGCAATATAAATTCATATAAATGTAATGCTAGACTATAAATCATCCCAGGAGGGAAGATCATGAATATGCGCATGAAATGAAACCTTAGGGTTATAAGGACGAACTCCTAAATAAGTAAATAAGTTTTAAAAGTTTTTATGTGCCTACAACAAAGACATTTACAACCCCCTTTAAAATGCAACACTTCTATCTAAACTTAAGCAAATAGTTAGGAAGAAATAAGGTAAATGTTTTTTTCCTTTTTTTTTAATTTAAAAAAAAAGTGGTTCATTTAAACCTTATGGTTAAAACTCGGCCAAATTGACCCTATTTTTTATTTTTTTAAAAAAATAAACAATATGACATAACAAAAATAAAGTGTAATATGAATATAAGTGTGAAGTTATGTACTAATGCATCCTAGAGGATAATGACTCCCAAATCTTCCATATGCTTTTGCAGTATGGTCGACTTGAGTGGAGAATTTCATGCGCCTGTACGGGAACCGAAATTCCACGAAGGTCATACTACTCAGTCTCCGATCTAATCTTAAGGGTAAAGCCTGGGTAGGAGGCTTGTGAATGTGTGTGAGATGCGTGATGATGCAAAATAAAATCATAATGCATATAAATATTTACAAAAATTGAAAAATAACAAATAACAAAAACGGACCCAAAACATATTACAATAGGATAATAAACGACAAAATAAATGGCTTGACTCTCTTAATAGTCACAAGTGGAGTCGACAAGTTGTCGCAACGTCATTGCGACACGGAGCGACCGACGTCATCCCCTGAATGGTCTCTTCCGAGATAAGGGTTTGGAGTCGCCACCAATCATCTACGAGGTGTGATTGGTCACCTAAAAATAAAGACAAGGTCTGCGAAAATAGATTGTTGGTTTGGGAGTCGACTGAGCGTAGGGAAGGTGTTAGCACCCTACGACACCCATTCGAAAACGGTACCACATTTTGTCAAAAATTATCCTATTATTTTATTTGGTAAAAAAAAAGAAATATTTTTATTTTATTTTAAATGTCTGATATTATATTAATTCACATTTTTAATAAGATATGAATTAATAGGTATGAGTGGCACGAAGACCATTAGAAAAATTTTGACACCTCGAGAACATTAGAAGGTTCCAATTCCCGCTATTGGAGTTTTTGAAATAATTATTTAGCAAACAAAAAAAATAATAAATAAATAAATAATTTTAATTTTAGAAAACATTAAGACAAACTTGCGACATGAGAGTTGACACTCAACATCTCACCATTGTGCCACCACTTGGAGATATTAGCTATGTTCCTTTTTAAAATACAAATTTTGTATTTTTGAATTTAAAAAAAAAAACTCTAAAAGGAAATCTTTTATTTAAAATAATTATTTATTAAAACAATGATAAAATGAGGCATGCAAAGACTCAAACTTAGGTCATGTACATTAAAAAACCAAGCCTCTTACCACTATTCCAACATCCTAAGATGTAAACATTGCATTCTTTTACAAAATCAAATGTTTTAATTTATTTTTTTAAACTAAAAAAACAAATTTTGTTAAATAAAAACAAAAAATAAATAACTTTTTTTTTATTTCGAAACTAACAAGATTATTTAAACGAAAAAAAAAAATTTATTTAAAAATAAAATCAAATTTACTTTAACAAAACTTATTTGCTAAAAACTAATTTTTTTGTTAAGATTCTTTTCAAAACCATAACCACCAACCCATTAAAAGAAAATAAAAGAATGAGATTTTATTATAGAAAAGACTCTATTTTTATCTCTTTTTTTTAAAAAAATCCTACGACAGAAGAAGACTCTTTTTAATTAAAAAATAAAACAAAGTTGACAAAATAATAATAATAATAATAAACCTTGTTAAAAAATTTAAATAAAAAACTAACTTTTAAACTTTGTATTGAAATTTAAAAGAATCCAAATTTTTTTTTAAAACAAGATTTATTTTATAAAACTCTATTTTAACCAAGATTTTAAAGTAATATCTTTTATTTAAACAAAATTAAATTTATATTTATTTGAAAAAAAGAAAAAAATTCTTTATTAGAAAAAGAAAAACCTTTTTTATTTTAAAATATCAATATCCTTATTTTCTTTTCAAAACTTATTTAAAATTTCTTTGATTTTTTTAAAAAAGGTTTGTTAATATAAAAAACTCCTTTTACAATGGATTTTTTACTCACTTAAAGCACACAATCAGGAAGGAGGTTACCATGGTGCAGCGAACTTGGAAGAAGCTGTGGAGAAGGCTGTTACTACTGCGTGGTCGCCGGAGGTCGCTGGAGTTCGTGGTTGGAGGTCTTACCGTTCGCTTGCATCGCCTGAGGTAGTCGTGGGTATGAAGGAGAAAAGGTGGTTGTGGTGGGATATGAAAGGAGAAGAGATGAAGTGGTGGTTATGGAGGAAAAAGACAATTTTAGAGAGGGAGAGAAGAAGAAAAGATGAGGGGTTTGTAGTGAGTATTTAAGGGGGAGGCGATTCTCCCTAAAAAGAACTTAAAAAAAAAAAACTTTAACGAGGCTTCACTATTTTCTTTCTAACTCTCTGCCCCATATGCCCTATGCACTGTCCCTTAAATACGTAAATAAAAATAACGGTAAAAGAAGAAGAGTCAAAAGAAAGAGAGAAAAAATGAGGGAGAAGAAGAAGGGAAGGGGACACGTACCTTGGGTTTGACGAGGGAAGGAGGAAAGAAAAACTAATTTTAACAAATCAGTTTTAGTGAAAACAAAATCCCTTTTTAATTAAAACAAAATCTTTTTGAAATAGAATTATTTACTTAAAAACAAATCAATTTTTTATTTTAATAATAAACAAAATTTATTAAAACAAAATCTAAACAAAACCGTTTTTTATTTTCTTATTAATAAAGTCAAAACATTTAAATAAATCTAACCTTTTTAATTAGTTAATTTCAACTTTATATTAAAACTAATAATAAAGTAAACTTATGTTATTTTTTTAATTAAATTAAAACTTAATAAAGTAAAATACAATAACATAAATTAAATTAAAAAAAAGGGCCGGACCAAATACGGTGTCTACACAACCCCCAAGCTGGTTCATATAAATTGCAACCCTAAAACTCTAAATAGTTTGAACTCCAATTTTTTTTAATTTATTTTTTATTTTTTATTTTTTATTTTTTAAGAAAAACTCAGCTCAAAAAGTCCAACAACTTTAGAGCATATGATGACGTTTTCTTTAAAGATAATAAAATCAATTTTTTTTTAGGATATAATGTAAACAAATTATATATATTAAAACTGTTAAAAGGTCGTCCTTACACGGAAAGGAATTAAAAAAATTGGGGAAGTGGAGTGGCCATAGAAAAATAACAAAAAATAACAAGAAGTACTGAAAAGAAGATTGGAAATAAAGATATGAAACTCCTAAAACATACCAAATAAAGAATTTAATAGATTTAATAGATTTAAACACAAAAATAAAAATAGAATGTTATTTATTTAGATAATTAGATAAGAAAATAATATAAAATTTGTAATGGGTAACTAAAATATATTTGTTCCACTTACAAATATAGCAACAACTTTGGTGAGTTTGGTAAAAATTGCAAAATTTTTAAAATATCTCTTTTGGATTTTTTGTTATTCCAAGATTGTCCTTTTAGATTTTTAGGTATATAGACAATATATCAAATAAGTGATATCAGTGGTCAATGAATATTCATATAAGATATATCATTATAAATGATTATTTTGATGTGCTACATATAGAAAGTATATTAGTTAACTGATATATCTTGATGTATTTCATACTAGGTACCTTTATTATTGTATCATATCCTTTATCACCGATATTCTTGATATACCTTATGTGTATATCAAGGATATACCTTGATGTACTACATACTAAGTATATTTCGTTTTAATTGATTTATCTTATATGAACTACATCCGTTATATAACTAATATACCCAATAAGTAGTACATTATATTAGTTATATCTTATATATTCCTTATATGAAGTATATAACATTACATACTTGATATACCTATACCTAGCTAATTTTAAGTACATCAAGGTACATCAAATTGATAATTTCTACCATGATTTCATTGTTTTCAAAACTTAAGTGGAAAGCTGTTATGATATCTCTTTTATCAATTGGTTTGCGGTACTTGAAACATGTATTCCTAATGTGAGGAATTATTTTCTCTTCCCTATAAATTTATCGAATTTAGGGTTTATTCATCACAAGTTAGAACAGTGATGAAACATAATTCTTTTAGCCTACTATATTTCTTTGAATGTTAAAGGTCAAAGCTTTTATTAGATAACCTCCTAATTAAATGTACCAACAATTGTGAATGACATCTCTTAATTACAAATGATAAAAAAATGTCCAAAGATTCATTCTTGGAACAATTCCACCTGGATTAGGAAAAAAGTTTCTATGATGTTATATAAGATCTATAATAATTTTGAGTAAAACTGACCTTTCAACCCATAATTCTGAATGTAAAATTTTTGGAGTAAAACATATCAACACTCAAGTATATCATTAGTATATCGGTATTCATATAAAGTATATCAACATTCAAATAAGGTATATCAATAGTATATAGAATCATGTCAATGAATGGGTATATCAATACTAAGGTATATCAATAATTAAATAAGATATATTAACAATATATCAAAGGCTCGGTATTATATAAATAGTATATCAAGATAAATATATATCAATATATAAATGATATGACTTTGAGGTATATCAATGATATATTAGAGACTAAATGGTATGACTTTGAGGTATATCAATAGTATATCAGACACTAAATGATATGAATATAAGCTATATCAATGATATACAGAAATCGAGTGGTAGGACCCCACGCGTCCCACGCTCAAGCGCGGGCACGGCACTAGCGCCTACACCCGCGCGCCCCACACACCCCTCAGAATTAGCGCCCAGCGCCCCACACGCTTCTCAGCACCCACGCCAGAGCCCCAGCACCCACGTTTGTCGCCCATGCCCGCCCCCAGCCGTTTGCCTTGCCACCCACTCAATCTCATTTAAGGAGAGAATTTCCTTATTATTTTGGTTTATTTGATGGGATTTGATTTGATTTGATTTTAATTTTTGTTTTATATCTGTTGATTAAACAATTTAAATTTAATTTTTAGGCAAGTTTTAATTTTTTTTAGGAAATTAGCAAAGTATTGTAATCTTTTTATTTCCTTTCAAGGCCAAAGGCCTTAGGCGTGTACCCCCTCTATGTTGAGGCATCTTTTGAATGTTGAATTGAATGAAAACCTATAGTGTTTTTTCACTTTGCCGTATGCAAAACCACCTTCCCAAATATCGAATCCCTTTGTGTGGTTGAACTTAAGTTTTCGTATTTCCCCCTCAGAGCATGCTTGTTTGATTGGTTATCAAACTCGTGGAGTGTTTCCCGCTTCGAGCATAGTGAGTATTTTGTCTGCTTAAAGGTAACGACTGCAAAGATAATCCCTCTAACTCTTACCTTTCCAGTTGAACCATCTCTACGATTGGATTCAAGTGGCTTGTGGCTCGAATAGCTCAATACGCTTGGGTTGTCGCATATCTTGCTACATATAGAAAGTACATCAGCTAACTTCATATATCAATTGGTACTTGAAACATGTGTTCCTAATGTGAGGAATTATTTTCTCTTCCCTGTAAATTTATCGAATAGGGTTTATTCATCACAATTTAGACGAGCGATCAAACATAATTCTTTTAGCCTGCTATATTTCTTTGCATGTTAAAAGTCAAAGTTTTTATTAGATAACCTCCTAGTTAGATGTACCAACAATCGTGAATGACATCTCTTAATTACAAATGATAAAAAATGTCCAAAGATTCATTTTTTGAACAATTCAATCTAGGTTAGGAAAAAAGTTTCTATGATCTTATCTAAGATTTATAATTTTGAGTGAAACTAAACTTTCAACCCCTAATTCCAATTGAGAAATTTTTGGAGTAAAACATAACATATCAACACTCAAGTATATTATTGGTTTATCGACATTCACATCAACTATATGAACATTCAAATCAGGTATATTAATATTAAATTAAATCAGGTCAATGAATGGGTATATCAATACTAAGGTATATCAGTAATTAAATAAGATATGTGTCAACCATATATCAAAGACTTAGTTTTATATCAATGGTATATCAAGATAAATATATATCAAGAATTAAATAAGGTACATCAATAGTAAATTAAAAACAAAATGATATGACTTTGAGGTATATCAATGATATATTAGAGATTAAATAGTACAACTTTGCGGTATATCAATAGTATATCGAACACTAAATGGTATGAATATAAGCTATATCAATGATATACAAAAACTAAAGGGTAGGATTGTGAGGCATATCAAAATGAGAGACTAAAGTATAATTGGACATTTTCTATATTTTGGATAGTTTGTCCTCCAATTTTTTTCTTTTTTCAAAATTGAGATGCAATTGCTAATTAATTTTGCAAATAAGTACTAGTTTTTGTTGCTAATTTTACAAGTGCCTAAAATAAAATGGAAAATTAAACATCGAAATAAAATAAGAAGAAATTAAGGGGGGAAATTAATAAAAATAAATGAAATATTATATAATCGTGAATATTTAATAGCAATTAAGGGGAAAATTAATGAAAATAAATGAAATAAAAAATTATTATATTATTGTGAATATTTAATAACCATTAATATATTCATAAATATTCTCCGTGAAAAAGTATATACAAACGACTTTTTTTATTTTTTATTTTGTTTGGTTGGAGGGTTTTAAGGGGTGGGAATGGACTTGGCCATATAAAACTCATATGTGTTTGGGGATTTGAAATGGTTTATTTGGAAAAACTATTTTTCCAAGCATCCTCAACACATTAAATGGAGGCATCCTTATCATGCAACAAACAGTAGATTTTCTCATAACCCTTCCCTATCCAAATAAATCCTTCCTCCCTCCTCTAAAATTATCTCTCTCCCCCTAAAACTTATCTCCTCTCCCTCTCCCTTTTTTTTTTTTACTATTTGTTCATTTTCTTGTCGGTGCCTTTTTTTTCATTTTTTTACTATTTATTTTTTTAGCATTTTGTTATTATATATTTTTTTTGTTTTTTCTTTTTATCTATGAGTTATTTGTTCTTTTAACATCGACAAAAATTAAAATTTATTTTCTACTCAAGGTTGAACAACAAATTAATTCTACTTCTTCAAAAACTTAAAATAAAATTTTAGAACCAGAAAGCTGAAGAGCTAAAGAAATTATTCTTTAAAAAAAACAAAATTGTTTAGAATTATTTATTTAATTAAAACAAATTA